TACTTCAAAATGATCAATGACATAGTATAACAGATATAAACAAACATGGTGAAAATGTTGAATTACCGGTTTTTCTCAGTATATCATAACAAACACAATGCCAAACTGGCAATCCCCAGTGTGAGAGAGAGATAATTCAAGACAACAAGTTGTAGTATACAGTACACAAGAACATGCATGGCAAGCTAAATAATACTATTGTTTAAGTTAAACAAATGTCTCGAGACTGCATTGTCCACAAGTTGTCGCAGATTGTCACTCAGTGCGGTAACATGTACCTGCACAAACACAAATATAGTACTTGTATGTACAGTATAGTATCTGTTATGTGCGTGCGTTCTCGCGGGCGTATAGGTATCTGTTATGTGCGTGCGTGCTCGCGCGCGTATATAGCTTCTGTTATGTGCGTGCGTTCTCGCGGGCGTATAGGTATCTGTTATGTGCGTGCGTGCTCGCGCGCGTATATAGCTATCTGTTAAACAATAGTATTATTTAGCTTGCCATGCATGTTCTTGTGTACTGTATACTACAACTTGTTGTCTTGAATTATCTCTTTCTCACACTGGGGATTGCCAGTTTGGCATTGTTTTTGTTATGATATACTGAGAAAAACCGGTAATTCAACATTTTCACCATGTTTGTTTATATCTGTTATACTATGTCATTGATCATTTTGAAGTACAAAGTAAAATGGGATGGCGGCCATGTTGAATTCAATATGGCTGCTGTAATTATAATTGGAACTTGTGTGTCTTGTTTTAATATGAAAGAGCTTATTAACCTGCGCCAGTCTGCAAATTTTCTCGTCTCTATATCTTCCGTGAACGGAAATATTGCTAAGTTTGTAATTTTTATGGCGGCCATTTTGAATCTAAGATGGTGGCCGAAAACGCCCTTAGATCACATATGCATCACGTTGTTGTATGAAATAATAACCCAAATTACGTCTGTCAGTCAATCTTCAAGTCTGTACGAAGATTATTAACTGAGATATAGCTATTTTTTAAGAAATAACGGCGGCCATTTTTGAATTCAAGATGGCGGCCGAAGTTGTAGTTGGATCGCGTGTGTCCTGTCTTTAAATGAAAAAGCATACAAAAGTATGCAAGTGTACCAATTTTCATACTTTTTTCACATATTGAACGATTTTTTTTATTCTACTGTACTACTCTTCCGAGCCGGAGGCAGCGCAGGCAGGCATGCCCGTTGCTGACAGTTTTTCCGATTGCGTGCGGAAATGGGTGAAAGATTGAGGCTGCGTCTCTCTCCTGTGGGGGCCGCTAGTCGCACAAGACAGCAATGGACATAATCAACATGACAGCCATGTTGCCTCGCCAGACGCGAGAACACACGCGCGCACGCACGCACCAACGCACGCACACACGCACGCACGCATGCACGCGCGCGCCTGCTGTTTTTCACGCGACAGTACTAGTAGCGTGGTTCTTAATATCGACTTATTAAGGTCTAGGTTGTGAGAGACCATGCTCGTTGTTTTTCCCGTTTAGTGACGGTTTCATGCATATTTCTTAAGCGGTGGTTGCCATGGCAACTTCCGTCATGGCTGGGCGGCGTCATCGAAGGATGTGCGTGGCTTATCGTGATCATGAAGTTATGAAGTCACGAGTCTTTTTGAGAGTTGGACGAAATGGGGCTTATATGTCGATGCGATCATGTGACGGGTTCACCTACCAAAACACACACATATAATGTTATTGGGATGAAAAGACTTTATAACATTTATAATATGTCATGTCGGGCGGAGATGATATGCCGTATATATCAGGAGTGTTATAATATAGACTAATATATGATAATATCTATATATATATAGACTATATTTATTCATATTATGACACTCAGACTGTATAATTATATCAGGAGTAAGATAATATAGGAGGAGTATGACACTCCAAAATACGTGAAATTCAACATTTGCTTGCCTAATTTTACCGATGATATATTACGTGCAACTCGATAAAAATTACATCTAAATTAGCGTTGGACATCCACCTCTCACTCAAGCTTTACTTAGTTTCCATACCTCTTCTTTTTATGGAGATATAGCTTTGAACGTCACACATGGTTAATAGCTTTTGACTAGGCTTGTGGCTTAGCTTTCCTCGCCTTCCTAACTGTTGTTATGCAGTGTGAGGAATGGTCTCTTGTCTGTTCACAAGAATGCCCCCTGTTGGCGGTTACGGTTACACGTACTTTCAAACCCCCCATCGCACCCCGCTTGCCACCGCCAACAGGGGGCATTCTTGTGAACAGACAAAAACCGCAGCGATGGCTCAATGGTAGAGTGCTCGCCTCGCATGCGGAAGGTCA